TAAAACTTATACGTTATCTATAATGTCCCTTCTCTTCTTATTTATACACGTTGAGCGGCCGAAATTGCCGAGAAAGCATTTTCGGTCACTAGAAACAAGCAACTAGAGAGAGAGAGGGGGGAGGGGGGAGAGGAGGGAAAGGGGGAGGGGAGAGGGGGGAGAGAGAGCGAAAGACCTTGAAAAATAGACTTGCTGCTTCGCTCGACGAACCCAACTCAGCGCGCGGAGCCTCACCGATTACAATTGAAGCTTCTATCCTTTTTCATTTTTTTTCTGTCCCACTCTGTCATATTTCTGTTTCGATAATTTGGTCTGCAATTCAAGAATATGTTCTATCAGTTCCGGTTTACCATCATCGCCGTGCAAGGATGCACGACTCCTTTTCTAAGCAACGATTCTATTTTAATATATATTTTTTTATTGTATAATATATTGTATATAGAAAAATATGTTATTAAATAAACTAAATAAAATAAAATAAACAAAATAAATGGCGAAAAAGAGTCGACGCATAATATATTTAATTAAAGATAATAGTCATAGATACATAAAATAAAAAGTAAAACGGCGGTGAAAAACTTTTCACCGCTCTTATTTTGATTTTATTCGCTTTCACTTCGGTTCTCACGCTGTCAATTGCTTAAAGTCTTGGATTAAATGCCGCCGTCTTATTTGAAGAATTATGTACACGCACGTTTCATTAAGCGGTGTATTCTCAATGATGTCACTCCGAGACATTTGAACGTTTTTGACAATTGCAGTATCAGTTTCTATAGTGCCAGTTTGGACAAAAAGTTGTCAAATCTCAAATCTTTGATGATTAAGAGGATTTTGCGTATTGAGTTGAGTGATTCGTATAGGGCTATTGACCGATACAGAGCCTGGCTTTTCCATCTGGTGGGCTGCATCTCGATTTGTCTGCCGATGAATATCGATGACGAGTTCCTCCGGACTCAGGGAAAATCGTGTCATCGCTTCTTTACCAAAGAAAGGAAGAGGCTCGATTCCAAGCTCCGATGGTTGATCAACAAAAAATTTAAGCGATCCATCGTTGGGATCGTGCCCATTCAATACAGTCTCGACTCTGTCCGTAAGCCAGGCAATTCAACTTCGGGCAATTTCTTTGGGTCCTTGGGGCGCGACTCTCTCGCTAACCCAGCTCTGTATGTAGTCGACCCTTCTTCCTTTCCAACTAATAGTTCGCCTAGTCCTATGATTTCCATTTTTCCCAACTCCTTTCCTCCACAGGTTCCGTCGTCTCTGTCCACTGTCAGGGATGGCTGGTTCCTGAACTTGTCTTCGTGCGTTATCCCTCACAATGTTCAATGTTTCCTGCAACTGGGTAACAACTTCGCGCTCCCCTTTAACAATAAGAACAGGATCATTTTTGACTGTATCAAAGGGATTGAGAGTGACACACTAAGAATGCCCTTGGATAGGAGAATGGATGTGATTAACCAATCCATTCCCATCATGAAAAACATCGTCTCGTCTCCGGTCTTCACTTCTGACATTCACAAGTGTTTGGCTGTATTAGAGTCGGACACTCGATCGTTTTTGACGGCGCATCCCAGCGTCGTGTTTACGCTTGCGGATAAAGGCAACGTCACTGTGGCTATGGATAGGGACGTTTACAGAGACAGGATGACCGAGTTATTGGGGGACTCAGACACGTATGTCCCGATTAAAAGAGATCCGACCAAAAAGCTTACGTCAGCCTTGAGGTCTATGCTCACTGGGTGGAAGACCAGAGGTCACATCAAGGATTCTGAATACAAAGCTTTGTACTGCAGTGACGGTTCTCTCCCGAGGGCTTATGGGCTGCCAAAGATTCACAACCTGATTGTCCTCTTAGAATTATAGTGTCATCGGTGGGCAGTCCGCTACATTCTTTGGCTACGTTTTTACACAAGAAATTATTTAAAACCATCCCGAGAGCTGACAGTTATATGAAAAACAGTTTTGAACTGGTTGAGAGGCTGAGGGATGTGCACTTTACGGGGACACATGAGTTAACGTCTTTGGACGTTACCTCTCTGTTCACGAACGTGCCAACGGATGTAGCGATCGACTGTGTTAACGAACATTGGCGGGCGGTTTCCGGCGATTGCTCTCTACCCAAGAAAGAATTTTTGGAAGCGATACGGTTTGTCTTCGTTTTTTGTCTTTGACAATGTTTTTTACAGGCAGAGCTTTGACACCCCCATGGGCTCTCCAATATCACCGGTGATAGCGGACTTAGTGTTGAAGAGATTGGAGACGGTGTCCTTGATGTCTGTGAATTTGGACATTCTATTCTATTATAGATACGTCGACGACATATGCACTGCGTTGCCCCCCTCTCAGATCGACCTGTTATTAGAGCGATTTAATGCATTCCGCGTCTACAGTTTACCGTAGAGAGAGGCAGAAAAACGATCAATTTCTTGGACGTCACTGTGTCTGTCAACAATAATCGCTTTAATTTCGATTGGTACCGTAAGCCAACGTTTTCAGGTAGATTTTTAAATTTCCACTCTAATCATCCATTGACGCAGAAAAAAGGCACCATCTTTTCATTAGTCGACAGAGCCTTTTTATTATCTGACGTTAGGTTTCACACAAAAAATTTGACCTCCATCATTGACATTTTACTTCTGAATGACTACCCACTAGACTTTATTTTTGACTCCATCAATCATAGGATCAAAAATTTGATTAGAAATAGAGACAGATTATACGATACCGCGACTGACATTGACTTAACTAATAAGTCTACCTCTTAGACGGCTTACGGTGCCTTTCATTCCGCTTCATATGGAGAAACTTAGAACTTTGAATAAAAGCAAAAGTGATATCAGGGTGGCCTTCCGGAGCCCTAACAAAATGGGCAAATACATAAGAGTCCAGAAGGATTCCTGTCCCAGCACATCGAAAAGCAACGTTGTTTATAAAATTTTATGTAATGATTGTGACGCTTCTTACGTTGGACAGACGGGCAGGCAATTAAAAATCAGGATTGCCGAACATCGTAATCATATTAGACATAAAGCTTCTGCCCGCTCTGTCATCACCGATCATAGGTTGAGTCACAATCACGATTTTCAATGGGACAATGTTCTGATATTAGACGAGGAGCCTTCGTATAGAAAGCGTTTGATTTCGGAGATGCTACATATTAAAAAACAGAGGAACAGTCTTAATTTACAGACTGACACCGAGGGTCTTAATAAGGCATATCTGCCGATTATAAACAAAGTCTGACTTTCGATCCTGTCGACCCGTCTCCTCTCTCAGTGCGTCGCGTGCCGTTTTAGCGATCGGTCGGTGTCACGTGCGATGTTGACATGTCTGACTTCGACGATTACATCCTTATCATTACCATGGGTTTTCACACCTGTCATGTCATGCGGCGGTTCTCATTTCCTGTTTGGATGCGTTGGTGAGTGAGCACTTTACTTCTTATCTGCGGCGTGTTTAGTTTTTAAGTTTTTAAGTTTTTAAGTTTTTTAGTTTACTTGTTTCTTATGAGTTCCCTTCCTTTTCCGTTTTTCAGTCAGCACTTGACTATGTTTCTTAACATCGGTTTGATTGCCCCATCGCATATACAACATTAGGCTACGTCGAGATCCATCACAATTGCTGATTTCCGCACGTTAAAAATGTTGCGTCACTGAATGTTATCGATTTATTTTTTTTTTTTGTAATCTTTTATGTCTTTTCGAATTATATTCTTTTTATATCTGAGGAGGGCTCAATCCAGCAGCCGAAACTTGTTTGTTTTATATATTAATATACGCCGTTTTACTTTTTATTTTATGTATCTATGACTATTATCTTTAATTAAATATATTATGCGTCGACTCTTTTTCGCCATTTATTTTGTTTATTTTGTTTATACATAAAGAGTCTTTACACCGTTGTTATTTAAATATGTTATTATTATGGCGTTTCCAACTGATAATATATTACTGGTTTCATAATGATTCAATTTATTTCTATATTTGCGCGCGAGCGATAAGAGAAATCACACTTCCTATTAAGTGCCGTTTGACGCTTTTACATCCAAGCCAAGTAAAAAATGTGCTGCATATAACAATTTCAGACTTTGTATCAACTTGTCCCTCACAAAAATCCACAACCCTCTCTACTTAACGTCAAGAACCTAACCAATAAAGACTTGTCTCAAGACACTATATCTGCGCTTGCCAAAGGCCCTAATTTCGCAGTGGCACCTAGAAAGATTCTAAAGGAAGAGATTATCAATCAAACAGAGTCAATCATCTATCGATTCCCATCAGAACAAGCAGATAATATCCGCAGACAGGTAACCAATATCCTTTCCAAAGCCAAACCCCCTCCACACAACTAGATAAGAACCATTTAAGATCTTAACAGGGACACAGACATCATCGTACTTCCAGCCAATAAAGGCAACACGACAGTAGTCATGAACTATACGACAGTAGTCATCAGACTATAAGAAAAAGATGAAGAACCTTCTTTCGGACAAAGCATATAAAAAGCTTGACAAAGATCCAACTAATACAATCGCACTAAACACCAAGATCCTAGTGGAGAAAAGCAACATTCCCAGTAAAACCAAATCAACATTAAAATCTACAAATCTTCTTCCACCAAGACTATACGGACTACCAAAAGTACACAAACCAAACATCCCCCTCAGACCGAATGTCAGCGCCATACACTCCCCGATATACAACTTATCCCACTTCCTAGCACAAACACTACAACCTCTTACTGGAAAATCCGAATCACACATAACTAACTCAACGGACTTTATAAAAAAGATCCAAAAAATCTGATTACGTCCCACAGATCTTGTAAGTTTCAACGTAGAATTCCTTTTCACATAAGTTCCAATAAAAGACACATTAAACATAATAAAGGCTTCACATAAAGTCCCCTAAACTCACCTCATCCCACTAATAGAACAGTGCTTAACAACTACTTACTTCTCCTATAACAACCAATTTTATGAACAAACTTCAGAAGCGGCAATGGGCTCTCCTATTTTTCCTGTAATCGCCAACATCTTCATGGAGCATTTTGAGAAAGAGGCCCTCAGAAAAACATCTAAGAAACCAGAAGTTTGGTTCCATTATGTAGACGATACATTCGTGATACGGCAGAGCCGAACTCCGTAAATTCTTTATTTTCCTCAACAACTAACATCCAAACATCCATTTCACTATAGATATAGAGGAAAACGGAAAACTCTCCTTCCTAGATATACTTGTCTCTAAGAAAGCTGACGGTACCTTAGGCCATCAAGTGTACAGAAAACCAACACACACAGATAGATACCTTCATGCCAAGTCGCATCACCAAAACCCATCACAAAAACAGTCTGCAATCAACTCACTTGTACATATGATAGAGCTTTCACCATCTCTGACAAAGAACATCTACAGACAGAACTCAACCACTTAAAACTAGCCTTACAGAAAAACGGACACGACAAAAAAGACATAATCAAAACAATCAATAAACATGCAAACAAGACAACGGTCTCCGACATACAATCAGACGAAAGGATTTTAGCCATTGTCCCATATCAAGGAATAACAGATCAGTTTGGCAGGATATTAAACAAACACAATATCCGAACTATCTTTAAACCACTCAAAAAGATAGGACAAATTTCGAGAAATTCTAAAAATCAACGACCACCTCTACTCAGCTCAGCAGGAATATACAAAATACCTTGTTCCTGCGGACAAGGTATACATTGGAGAAACCGGAAGAATGGTCAACCTACGGATAAAAGAACACCAATGTGATGTCAGGCTAACACACGTCACGCAGTCAGCATTATCAGAACATAACATCAAAACAGGACATCAAATACTGTTTGATAAAACAATCACAATAGCCAAATTATTTCATACTTTCCAAGAGAGAGAAGCCATAGAGATACAAAAACATTCTAACAATCTAAATAGAGATAATGGCTGCAACATAAATAAAATATGGAAAACCATTGTCCCGGTTATTGAAGACTGACCAATTCTCCCCTCCCCCCCTCTCTCTCCCTCTCACCCTCAATTCTCTTCTTTCCCTCCATCACTCCAACAAATACCGTAATAGGAACGGCCCGGAGGAACAGCTCAGTATCAGGCTGCTTTTCGCCCTGATGAAATGGACTGCAAGGTTCACGAAACGTTGGCATTTCAAGAATGGATCTGGATACGGAGGAAACCCGCAAAACGCATAACTTTTATAATATCATATTTGTTTTATTATTATTCCTCTCAAGAGAAAAAAGTTTGACTAAAGCACGTAACAAGCTTGTTACGGGCCTGAGTAGGTCGATAATTCTGATCGTTTCTGCTGATTTAGCGAGGCATACTTGATGACAGCGCCGCTGTCTCAATATCGAGGAACTAAAATAGTGCTCGGTGTCATGGCTTCATGTCAGTTTTATTCGTAGCATACGAACAAAATTTTTGGCGACTCTATTCTCTTATACTAAAGCTGCTAGTTCATTTCTACAGGCATAGTATTGTTCTTCGAGGTTTTCTGTAGGCTGCTGACTACTTATTTTAAACAGGTAAAATCTAAAACTCTTATATAGCACATACTACGACTAGTCGACTGCAGAAGCCAATGACAAAACTACAATTTTTAATTTTCTTTCGTTTTTCGTATTAAATTGTAGCTGGCAATCAGTGATGTTGTCGATACTTTAATTGTAGAGAAGAACTTTTCAATAAGTGCAATTAAGAGAAATGAGCCGAGGAAAATTAATCACACTCGTTAAAATAAAGCATTTTAGTATCCCCTTAACCAGTCAAGTTAAATTTTATCAAATTAAAAAGTAAAACACAAATGATACTATCTCTTGTTATTTACTTAACTCTAATGTATCATTTATATGTATCATTCGTATAAAAGATTTGATATCAACAAAATTGGCGCCAAGTTAAATTCCTCAAAATTTTATATATTATTTCTATAAAGAATTTGATATCAAGAACTGGCGCCAAGTTAAATCCCATTTCTTTATACCATGCCAAATTAAATATTATAAATAATGAATATTAATCTAATAATATGTATTTGTATAAAAAATTTGATATCAACAACTGTAACGCCAAGTTAAATTCTACTATCAAAATAAAAAGTAAAACACAAAAAAGTGATACTATCTTTATTATTTACTTAATCCAAATGGTACTATCTTTGATTTTTATATAATGAAACATAAGAATACGTATATTTTATTGAAAGATTTTCCTATTCCAATCCAAATGGTTTAAATTTCTCTTAAATAAAATTATTATACCACAATTTATTTAAAGACATTTTCTCTTCAAATTATAATAAAGTAGTTATTTAATTCTTCTTCAAAATAATATATAAAGCATTATCACAAAATTACGTTACTTTATTTAATTTAAATGTTATCACAAAAAATTAAAGAGTTAATCGTATAAAATGAAAAAAATTTAATTTAAGTAAAAAAATTGTTAATGTAAAAATACTTGGCGCTGCTAGATCTTAGATATAATAATATGATAGTAAGATATGAATGTACACACATAACTCACAAAAACAGGGTGAGTATTCAAATCTTATAAAAAAATTCCCTGAAACTTCCTGGTTTTTCTATATATTTTATTAAAAATTCCAGATATGATTAGACATTTCAAATTTAGTTCAAAAATTATATATTATATATAAATATAACTTGTTTATAATACCATAAAAATATAATTCTTATATTTTAAAAAACAAAAGATATATTTATAAATAAATAACATTTATAAGTAAATAATATTTATAGATAAATAATATTTAAGATCTGTTCTTTATTCCTACACTATTTAAACTGGTGCACACAGTGCATTGCTTCGTGCAATAAGTTGAAACGAAACAAACATATATTTGTTTCACTTCAACTTATTGCACTGTGTGCACCTGTTCAGATAGTGTAGGAAAGAACAAACCTCTAGATAATATAAAATACTAAAATCTATTTCTTTAAAGCATTAATTTGTTTGTTAAGCGCATCTACTTTCTTCTGAACATTTTCTAAAATTCTTAAACGTTTGACCTCTAACTCTTTTACTTCTAAAATCTTTTTTCTTTTCGTAGATGCTTCTTGTTCTGCAGCAGATGCTTGCTACCGATGCTGCTCAAGATCTTCTGCGTAACGGGAATGAACGTTTCGAGCACAATACAAAAAAGCTTTGAATATTTCTAAAGCGTCAATGCCACCTTCGTGTAGTACAGTATCACGTATTTGATGACGGGTAATTATAGATTCCTCTTTCATACAATATTTTCAAAATGACATTCAGCATTTACCGAAAAACCTCGTTCTACGTTTGCGTTACCATGCGAGAGGCAGCAAACCATTCTTACTACAAACATTAAATCCTTAAAATCTTAGGACATAACATCTCTCCAAAAATGATCTAAGCGTTTTTCAGAACGATTATAAGATTTTATGATATCCTTGATATACGATCGCGACGTAAGATTTCGAAATTGCCGAATTACGGCATCAACTGTTGATCCAGTTATTTAATCCTTTTCGTTAAAAATGGTACACAAACTATGTAAACCTTTCTTGGCTAAGTCTAAATTTGAAGCTATGAGGCTTGGATCTAAACAGGTAGTAGCTTTTGTCAGAGGATACGTTAACGTAATCGTGTCATTAATATGGAAACAAACTTTAGGAGACACTTCTTGCAAGCCTATCGGAAGTGTAGCATATCTGCAGTCTTAATACTAACTTTTCTTATCGCTTTTATAATGTCAAAACCTAATGTAATATTTTTTGCAGAAAGTAGATTAGCCTCTGTCAGGACATCTTTCAGTGAGACTGATGAAATACTCTTTATTACTTCGGTTTCATAAAACGTTCTAACATGATTTTCAGCATTAAAGAAAGAGCACTATGTAAAAATGGAACCAAAGGTATATCTGACTGAAATTCTCGTAAAAAAAGTTCTTCAGAAGCAAGAAATTTAATGAAAGCAAGCTTAGCACACAATAAAGGATATTTAACATATTTTACAATTATTTTATAACTTGCACACGTTGGTTCAATCTTATCTTGCTGCATGCCATCAATAAATTTTTTAATATGGGATGTGACATTAATCGCTTTTTGAGCTACTGCACAATTATCTAGCCATATTATAGAGCAAAATTTTAGTGGAAAAATATCAGATCCAGAATATTGTACATACTCGTATAAAGCTCTACGAGCTGGACGCACATCCTTGAATAGATTAGCCCCCATAGATTGATATATAACGCTCTCATGTATCAGATAATGTTCCAATCAGCAGCATATATACCAAATTTGAACGCACAATGCAAACGATGTAGACTGCAACTTCTAATATCAAATATATAGTTTGTTGCTCGAAAATCTGATTTATTCTTTTATAAAAGCTCAATTCACATTTAGTCCATCCATAGATATTTGCAGTAACTTTTCTGTCAGATTTTCAATACCATCTTTGAATGCTTCAAGAAGATCCGTTGCCCTTATACGTCCAAGAAACCGTGAAGTTAGATATCGCGTTATTATTTCTTCGTTTTTTATATCCCAAAATCTCACATTTATATCCATTTATTTTATAATTTTATCGAGAGATTCGTCAAAGCCAACAACAATAAAACAGGCGGTTAATATTTTCTACTAATTTCTTATTGAAGAAAGGAGCGATACCAAACATAATAACTGTTACGTCCAGACTCCACAGTTCTTTTCTTCGACAAGAAACTTTCGTCATCACAAAGAATTAGTGAGCAGTAAACCACTTGAAATAGGAGCTGAGAGCAATAAATGCTCGTTTTAAACTAACAACCCATCCGGGACTGAACCGTTGGGTTAGATATTTGAACCAAGTATCAAATAGACAAACCTTATCTCAAGGATTATAAAATGAAATAAGAGCTGAGAACAATAAATGCTCAGTTTTTAACTAATAAACCATTCGGGACAGAACCGTTGGGTTGATATTGGAACCAAGGGCCAGATAGGCAAAACTTAAGAACAAACAGACTAAGCTTTGTAAAATGAAAAAGCGGCTGTGAGCAATAAATGACATGTGGCTCGCATCTATTAGACACTCGAGAAATGGTCGATGACGAAAGTTATCTTAGACACATAAACAATATCCCTAACCCTGGATTGGCTCAGCAGTACACGTACTCTGCTCTCGGCGTCACTAACTCGCCATATAAAAGGAGAGGTCCTCCACGAGGAGCGTCACTTCTCTTTCGGGACTCGGCAGTCATTAGTCACTTCTCCTTCGGGACTCGGCAGTCATTAGTCACTTCTCTTTCGGGACTCGGCAATCATTCTTCACTTTTTATTCGGCATTCGGCACTCAGCAGTCGCCAGTCAGTCATCAATCAAATTCCATCTCCGAGATTCCCAGTTCGCGATACGCGTAAAAGTGACTCGACCGGAGCTTCCACAACCGAGTCCCAACCTCCCGTGGAGTGCTGAGGCCAACAATTTCGGCAGCTAGATCCACCCACATCCGCAGAACGACAGTAAGTCCCATACACACACACACGCGCGCGCACATATATATATGTGATTTAAAGAACCAACCACTATAATTAATCCCAAATTATAGTGCCGCGCCCGAACCGTCCCTTCAAAGGGTGGCTTCAAAGCCGGGCCTACCGGGAGGCACGGAGACTCTTGGACGAAGAGTACAAGAGGTACCTCGAGCATTCACAAGGGCATTCGCAGAGTCGTCCGGTCGAGGATCATTTACCACCACTACCATCCTCGCCACCACCGGCT